CTGCACCAGTCTTTGCCGCCAAGCAGCTCTCCCGCTGCAGCGGGATCCTTTGTCCCGCAATTAGGAGGGTCCAGGACAGAGCGAGTATGGGTCGTGTACCTTCCGAGCAAAGGGCCCGGGGCAGCGCGAGGCCCGGAGTGAATGCGGCGTGGGGGTGGGGAAATCCTGCAGAGACTGAGGCGCTGGAGTTCCTTGGGGCTCCGCAGACTCACTGAACCTTGTTCTCGACCGAGACCCGGACTCGGACCCTAGTGGCTCTGGGCCTAGGCTTAAGTGGGAGGTCGCTTCGTGGTTCCATATGGCTGGGGCCGGGAAGAGGAGAGGGGAATGCTAGAGGCAAGAAGATGGTCTCCACTTGTCTCCAGGGACAAGTGGCCAGGGACCACAGGAGAGGTTCTGGGAGCAGGTGCAGGCTGGGTAAGCTCCCCAGTGACCTCAGACTCCAGACCCCTGTTTCCATTTGAGGTTAAAGGTCAAAGATAGATGTAGACTCTAGGTTAGGAATAGAGCCTTCAAGGGAGGGGTAGAGAGGCCGGGGAAGACTGTGTGTACCCTCTAGGAGGCTGCTTGAAATCCAGCCTTGTGTGAGTGGAGCCCACCTCACATCTGTGAGTCATTAGGGGTGCTGCTTTTCTCTCTGGCCTTCTCTGGCACTATTTAATCAATGAGTTGATGACTGCAGCAGAAAAGACCAAGACTTAAGGAACTTTTGCAAGTAGGACCGTGATTAAAGTTGGCTCTCCCTCTTTGGTATTCTCAGAACAGATTAGACTGTCATTGGACACCGTTTCTCTGGTGACATCTCCTTCTCCCCCCCACCCCCCAACTCCATACACTTCCAAGACAAAAATTTCCTCAAGTCAGTCTCTTCCTATCTCCCTCCTTTCCTTTAGCTCCCTCCCATCTTTTCCTCAAGCGCTCCATCTGCAGTGGAGTCTTCCCTCTGGGCTTGATACCTCAGAGAATGGAGGGCCAGAACACATCCACAGAGTTCTGCACTACTACTTGTCCACCGCAAAGATGCTGGGGGTGGGGGTTGTTGTGTGTACCTTTGGGGGAGACACTGGTATTGATGCTGGGGGCATTGGAGGTTGTTGTGTGTACATATTGGGAGAGACACTGATATTCTGATTCCCAAAAGATTCCTTGAATCTGAATTTCCAAGCTGAGATGAGTGAAGCCTGGGCAAGAGACAGGGTACCACATGAATCAGTACCCTGGCCTAATGTGAATTTGAGTTGTATAAACTGCCCTGACCCCAAGGAGCCTTAACTTGATTAATGTGTCTGTCACAAGCCCCAAGAAATCCTGAGGCCAAGTTAGGACAAGAGATGCAGGCAGACAGGGAGCTGGATCACACCACGAGAAAGTGGCTCAGCTGGCTCCAGGACCTTGGGGATTTAGGTGAGCAGTAGGTCTACAGAGATGCAGTGTTCAGGCCAGGGTGCCAGACCTTCCAGGTCCCAGCCTTCACTTTGTTCTCTATCTAGGATCTGATTCTCCAACCAAAGCAATGCTAGATTTTTCCCCAGTTTTATGGGGAAAAAAATGCAAGTGGGCAGAGTATGCTCGGCTTCCTTCCCCATCTTACCTTTTCCCCTGCCTTCTGCCAGTTCTGAAGTGTCTAACTCCCAGGATTCCCTGAGCTTCACCAGTTGAGACTCAGAGTCCACTGCCATTTGCACAGACCTTCCCATAGGCCAGGGTCTGGGCAAGGAATTGCATCAGAAATCTCGATGAATCAGACCCTGACTTGGAAAGATCTATACTGAAACTTCTCAACTAAAAGCAAACTCCCCACTTTCTCTAAAAACCCTAAGGATCACCAGTCTGCTTTCTTTCTTAATATACTCCTTATATGCCCCCTACACTCAAATAGTCACCAGCAGGCCTTTCCTTTGGTCATTTTCCTTAAAGAGGTGAATGAACTTTATACATAGCCCAGTTACAGAGGGAAAAGTGTGCAGCAGAAATCTAAGAGTGTTCTAGAATATGCAGGAACCTGAAAGCTGGCCTAAGCTGTCTGGTGCTGCAGGCTAGCAGCCAGGAGCGGTTGTTCCCAGCCTACCTATGGCCCTAGATGGATGTGATGTTTGTTAGCTTTACTAATGACTCTGGGGATGTTCTGTGATCCACCTACCTTTGAAGTTGGCTTTTGCAGCCCAGAGAATGTTTTTTCCTGTGTGTGCTGGCAAATGAAATGCACATTTCTCTAAAACAGAGTCCTGTTTCTTCATCTGAAGAACCAGGCACTCCCTGGCTCCTTCTAGATGCAAGAAAGAAATACTATATTTTACATTTGTGGAAGAAGCACACCACCCTAAACAACTGGTGGAATGGTTTTCCAATCCTAGTCTGCTTCATGCCTGAACTATTTTTCTCTCTTGATGTTTTGAGACAGGACCCTAACCTTAACCTTAACCCTAACCCTCTTAGGAAATTCGGTCAGAGCTGAGGCAGCCAGACATCTAGTCCAGATCCTGCAGGCTTAAATGACATCTTATCCCTCAACTCTCTGGGGCACTGAACTCCTCCTTCTCCATGACATCCACACAGATCTTTCCTCTCACTAGTTGCAAATATAAATTGGGGCAGAGAACAGAAAGGACAGACAGACTGTCTGACTGTTCCTCCCCTCCACCATACCAACTTCTAGTTCTCCATTCAAGGGGACCATGGATAGAAAGGTACTGTGACCATCTGGAATAATAATAATAACAATAATAACTGAATTAGTGCCAAAGCTCTCCTCACCATAGCATTCTACATTAGCCTCCAATTTATCTCTGAATCCTCTAATGACGGTGGAAGCAGGCACCCAGTCATAAAGCTTGGTGCGGTCATAATTAGCCCAGCATTGTCTCTCCTCATCACAGTTTTTTCAGGAGCATTAATTCCTTCTCTGTTTGGACTCTGCTAATTATCCCCATCGGTAGCTCAGCCCAGCTCTCTAAAGGAGAAAAGGAAGCAATGGCCCTCTGCTCCCACTCCCCTGACTCTGAATTTAATTACACTCACTTCTCCTAATAAATTCACAAGCCACGGCAGGGCTTATTATTAATGGACCATGTCTGTTAGCCCCAGTAAGGACCAGCCACTGTTTTCTCAATGCACAACACACACACACACACACACACACACACACACACACACACACACATATTCCTTGGGGATATCACTGGATGAGACTTTTCAGGAGCCACTGGTTATTTGTCTGGTAGTTCATGGTAACTTGAGGACATGCTCTTCTCGGAGAAGAAGAAAAATCAGTGTGGAGGCTAGTTACAATCCAAGACTGCAGGGATCTGTCCAGATTTAGAAGATCAGACCAAAGAATAGAGAACACCCTCACCTTCTCCAGGTTCCAGGTAAGAAATGCCTCCCTGACTTGGCTGTGCAGCTTAGAGTCTGCAGTGCTTCAGCCCCTCTCCAGTCCCCGGGGATGCCTGGTTCAAGAGCCTGGGCTTTGCTATCAGAAAGCCCTACATTTAAATCCCTGCTCTTCTGCTTAACACACTGCATCCCTTGAGCAAATGACTAGTTATCATCTCTATACTTTGTTTATCTGTGAGAAGTGAATATGAATTTCTTCAGGAGGCTGTAAAGATTAAATGAGATGATATAAAACGCACAATGCCTGCTGCATAGAAATGAACAGCAAATAATATCATTAATATTAATATGAATGGTTCTGCCTGGAGTCTCTTCCCTCCATGGACTAGATGCTGTTCCTCCCATGTTATTGGACTTCTGTATCCCTTCTTCTCTGGTTTCTGACCTGTGGTTTACCTATGTCTCTATAAGGATGTGAAGAAAAGCACAGCTGGGCACCTGTATTTTTGAGGGGCCAGTAACAACTCCAGTCCCTGGGCCAGGCTTCTCTAGTCCTGGGGTGAGCTGGGAACCGGTCCTTTCTCTAGTTTGTCTTTTCAATTACAATCTGTTAGCAAGAAAGCCTGTGATGGTTGCAAAATGGACTTTCCTGACACAGAAACACATTAGAAAAAATGGGAACAATAGCAAGCGATAAGAGTGGCTGATGAATCCCAACACTACAGATGCAGGGAAGAGGAGGGGGCAGCTGGTCTGTCTTTAGAGAATGAAGTGTCACCAGGGAAGATAAGCAGGCCCTGAGATGCTAATTAATACCTTAGCATCTCTGGATGAGGAAGGAGCCCATGAGCCATTGCCTTACCAGATAATCTCACTTAAGGTGACCAAGCAGGTCCTACCCTAACAACCTTCAAGAGGATCTTAATTTCTCAGGAGGGAAGAGGGGCCTGAGGCTACTCTGCCACTTTGCCCCCTGATCTGGGGTCTCCATTCTCTGCCCCAGAGGCCTAGCTGTACGTAGCAAACAATTATACTTAACCACAAAAAAAAAAAAAAAAAAAAAAAAAAAAAAAAAAAAAAGAAAGCCCAGTCCTGGGGGATAATAGCAGCTTATGTTTGGGGAACATTCTCTGCATATTAGGGCTGTGCTTATTAGATTTTCTTAATGATCCGGTGAGGCAGGAATAACCATAGAAAGCAATGTGGGCAGGTAGTCATGGCCGAATGGTTAAGGTGATGGACTTGAGAGCAGTGTGCATGGCAATGTACTTTTCAGTCATCGGCACCGGTGCTCCCCTCCCCCTCCTGAGATACCTGCCCTGTTTCTGAGTACCTTGTGAAGTCCAGGTCCCCAACTAGGGTTAAAGCCACATGCCTTTGTTCCAGACAATATTCTTGGGATTATGTCTCCAAAGCATAAATAGATCTACTCTGTTTTGCCCTCCCAGGGGGTGGCTAGATGCTCTCAGATGCCTGAAAGCAGGTGCCATAGCTTGCATTTGTAGTATCTGCCCCCAAACTACAAATCCGAGCATGTTTCCAAAAGTTGGCCTATTGTAAGGGGGTGGAACCTTCCAGAGATGAGGCCTAGTGGGAAGTCTTGTAGCAGACCCTCACAGGGATCTCAGGACCCCAGCCCCTCCCCCATTCTCTTCCTCTCTCTCGCTGCTTGGTCATGATATAAGAGATCTTGTTTTACCCATCCATCCACCATGATGCACATCGTGGGCCAAACAATGGGACTGGCCGATCATAGACTAAAGCCTCTAAAACTGTGAGCAAAAAATGATCCTTTTCTTGTCATAAGTTGGTTATCTCAGGTGTTTGTTATGACAGAGACTAACACACTAGGGGATGAAGGCTGGCTGAGTTCAAGACCACCCAGAGTTATTTTAAGTCCTCTCCAATTACCACCTCCTCTTGTCTGATTCTGCTTTCTTTCTTTCTTTCTTTCTTTCTTTCTTTCTTTCTTTCTTTCTTTCTTTCTTTCTTTCTCTCTTTTCCTTCCTCTCTCTCTCTCTCTTTCTTTCCTCCCTCCCTCTCCCTCTCTCCCTCTCTCTCTTCCCCTCTCTCTCTCCCTCCCTCCCTCCCTCCCTCCCTCTTTCTCTCTTTGGTTTTTTGAGACAGGATTTCCCTGTGTATTCCTGGCTGTCCTGAAACTCAATATGTAGACAAGGCTGGCCTTGAACCCACAAAGTGCTGGTATCAAAGGCATGCGCCACCACCGCCTGGCCTGCTCTTGCTTTCTTACTTACCACTGCATGTCTCCTGTATGGATGAATTCTTTCAGTGTTCAGAACCTAGTTCTCCTTGTATTGCCTGCTTGTGAGATGCCAGCGTCCAGGCTCTTCTAGTCCTGGGAGAAAATTCTCCTGGCATGGGGTGGCTCTCTTGTTCTTTCATAATCAGTATTGAGTGCTAGGGACTGATTCCCAGTAATCCATATCCACTGTCTTCTCTAAGCATAGAGCCAAGGGAACAGCAGCTGGAGGTCACATGGAGGAGCAATTGAAATAGCAACTACAGAAGGAAAAAAAAAAAAAAAGAAGAAGAATCCCTTGGTCCCTCCCCCCCACCTTTATTTCATTTATGAATTCCATTTTTTTTGTCAAGCTGAATATTTAAATGCACTCTGTGCTCTCTGGATTCCCCCCTCACCTCCTCCCTTCTCATTAAAATTCTAATTATTACCAGAGCAAGTAAGATGTATGATCAAAGGAAAGCATGGCCCTAGAAATACCTTTTGTTTTAAAGTGAACACTACAGAAAATGGGCCCAGAGCAGCTGTAATAAAGAATAGATGTGAAGGGTACAGAGATGTCCAGATACTTACAATAAGACTTACATATCAATAGTAGCTTTCCAGACACACCCAGAAGAGCAGCCTCCCAGCCACTTAGATCATAAATGTACAACAGGAAAAGATTTAGGTACTTCCAATGTGTGTTTACCTGTCTCTAAATTATATTCATGCTCTACCAAAGTAATATTGCTTAGCCATGTGGAGACTAGGCCCACCTTACTGACTGTATGACCTGGGCAATCTGTTAATTCCCTGGGTGTTACTAGATGCAAAGGGAAGACAATCATTTTACCTGTTTCATAAGAGAGGATCACATGATTGGATATATAAAAACTGCTTTAGTATTAAACATAATGATGTTGAAGAAATTGACTAAATCCATACTGTCAATCCATATGTAACTTTTTGACTACTTATACAACATAATAAATATTATAATACTTTGGAATTTTTTTTCTTTTGGGGAACATGGATGTCTCATTGGAGACTTGGTAGTCTCTAGAGCAATGGCTCTCAACCTTCCTAATGCCACGACCCTTTAATAAAGTTCCTCATGTTGTGCTGACCCCCAACCATAAAATTATTTTTGTTGCTACTTAATAACTGCAATTTTGCAACTGTTGTGAATCATAGTGTAAATATCTGTGCTTTCTGATGGTCTTAGGCGACTCTGAGAAAGGGTTATTTGACTCCAAAGGGGTCATGACCCACTGGTTGAGAACTGCTGCTCTAGGGGACAGGCTAGTGGTAGCTCTTGGCCAGAGAAGGGCTCTGAAGTGCCCGTGCTGGGCTGAGTGGGGGCAGAGGTAGTGGTAAAAGTCAGATAATCTCCTCTTCACCCCATTTCATGGAGGCACTTGGCTGCTGATCCTGGCAAGGACTGGACAGGGAGCTAGAAGGAGTGGTGGCTCCTTGAGAACATAGCTAAAATTCTTGCCTTCTCAGGATGTAGGGTAGCTTTCCTTAAGGACTGGATACGGTAAAAGAACCTGGAGGGACCTAGGCATTTTGCCAAGCCTAGCTCAGCATCTGGCAGTCTGGCATAGTTGAACTTAAATGAGAAAGAATTGTAATTCATTCATGTATGCCTGAGTATATACTGGTTCATGAATGAAAACACACTATGCCGGAACCTATAGGAGGAGTCTAGAATTTAAGCTGGGACAAACAAGTCATAGAAATGGAAAGAATAGGATAGTGGACACCTGGGCCCTGGCAAAAGTTCTATGTCTGACTAACTTGTGGCCTCTTGTAAGCCCCTCCTGAGGGCTACTGTTGCCATCTTTAAAAGGACAGCCTCACCTTGGTACTTGTTGACTAATTGCAAACAGTAAGTCTTAAGATATGTAAGACAGTTAGCAACCAGTCCAGAGGTCTGCAGGGACTAGCCAGATGAAAGACAGCAGAGGGTTGAGCTGATGGGACTCATCCATGCATAGGGACATCCACCAGTGTCACCAATCTTCCCAGGGACAGTTAGCAAGCCATTGGCCTCTTCCAGAAAAAAAAAGTCAGACATCTGGGGGTAATGACAGTTATGGAATTTCATCACTTCTCACACAGTATTATCCAAACCAAGCTCCTCTACTGGCTCATCCACAAGTGATCACATGACAGCCCTGCCAGGCAAACCTCTGGCTCAGAGCTTTCTGACTTCTGCATGGGGCTCAAAGATTCATCTTCTCATCTTCATACTGACTTCGCATATGAGGAAGCATTCTGCACAGCTCTCTTGAGATGATTGGCACCACTAGGTCTGCACGGGAACAGGTTAGGGCTTTAAGTGCCTGCTTCCAACCCAGTTTGCCACACTTTTCACAAATACTAGCTTTACAACAAAGCTTCCAAAGAACCACAGAATGGAAGAAGACAGTGATGGGAGTTATTTGTATTTTGTACTTAACTTTGACCTATATAGACCCTGGTAATCAGATTCCAACTTAATACAAGTGCCCAGTTAGCCTACAGCATGCAGAAAACTCTAGGAAAAGAGAAGCTAACACACCTGCCCTTAGGGAAATGGGGCTGGGCTCCTCTCCCTGGGAGAGAGCTGGGTGTTTATTGAATTCCTTGTTCCAGGATCGAACAAGGATACAGCCTGGACAAAGAAGGTAGCATGAGGTAGTCAGTATCTGCCCCCTACCTCATAGACCGTGTATGGGTTGTGTGCAAAAATTTACCATTTGGGGCAGGAGATAAAGTTCAGTGAGAAATTACTTGCATAACAAGGGCAAGGCTCTGGGTTTCATCCCCAGTACCAAAATACAATGAGTGAAAAAGAAAAACAAGACACTTACAAGTCTGGCCACAGTAACTGCTCTAATAGAAATTCAAGCAGCGTACAAATATGAACGCTTCAGGAATTTGCACATTTGCTTAGATTCCCATTTAAATCACTGTCCCCACCCTGGGCACGAGCCAAGAGCAGTAGGGCAAGCAGCCAGTGCTCCCCAAGCTGGTAAAAGGTGGGGGCAGGGTGATACTGAAGCAATCAGACTGTGGCAAACAGCAGGCTGCAGCTAGTTGACAAAATGGACCATCAGTGGTCAACCCCCAAACCATCTCCTCTTCCCATGACTTGGCAGCTTTGCTCATAACCATTCTTCTCTCTTCTTCCGTCTTTGTCCCTTCTGTGTGTGCCTTCTTCCAATGCCTCACCTGCTTATCCCCACCTCTGTCTGTCTCTGTCCTACCCTGCCTGCCTCATGCTGAGGGCAGGCACCTCTGTCAGCCTCCTCGCCGTGGTAGTTATTGTGTGTGGCGTGGCCCTGGTGGCAGTTTTTCTCTTTCTCTTTTGGAAGCTGTGCTGGATGCCCAGGAGGAACAAGGAGGCCTCCAGCCCTTCTTCTGCTAACCCTGCTTCAGAGACCCTCCCAAGTCCCAGCTCCAGAGGCAACATGGCAGATAAGCTGAAGGACCCCAGTGCCCTGGGCTTCCTGGAGGCAGCTGTGAAGATCAGCCACACTTCTCCAGATATCCCAGCCGAGGTGCAGATGTCGGTCAAAGAGCACATCATGCGTCACACAAGGCTGCAGCGACAGACCACAGAACCTGCGTCATCCACCAGGTGAAGGGTTCACCCTCACTTCCTAACCCCCATGCACCCACACTTTCTGGTACAGTGCATCAAAGAGATTCTAAGAATCAGGGTCCAGAAATAGCAGCATGTTTCCTTTGAGGACCAGAGTAGATGGTGTGATCCATGGTGGCAATCAAGAGGGGAGGTGGCATCAGAGTAGGTATGGTGAAAGGGGACCCTTCCAGGTGGTTGTGCATGTGAGGACATGGAAGACTGGACTAGAGACTGGATTGAGAGTTTTGAGGAAAGGAAAGACTTCAGACAGGGGAGAGTATAGGCAAAGGTCGAGAGACATGCAAGTTCATGACACATTGAGGGCTAGGTCGGTGAAGCCCAGCAGTTTCAGACTGGCATGCGTTGGAGGTAAAGCAATAACTACAGACCGCATTGGAGGTAAAGCAAGAGAGTCCAGGATTTTTAAGAACAAGAATTTCTTTAAAATCCTTTTGAGTTCCCCACATGGCAGCAGTTGCATAACCTGGCATCATCTAATTCAAAAGCCTACCAGCAACAAACATGATGGCTGCCTCCTTACTCTAACTAAATCCAGAAACGTCTCTAAAAGATGTGGATAGGCACTGTGATTATTCAAAATTTGAGAATCGTTTTTATTCCTGGATCCCTGCAATGTTCCTTCAGGCTCAGAGACACTGATCAAAGGGAAAGAGACATGGTCTTCAGACCAGAAGCCAGGCATGAAGATGCTAAAGTCCCCCAGGCCAAATTTGCCATATGGCCTTGGGCATACAGCTCACTTTAAGCCTCATTTTCCTAAACTATAAAATAGGGCAAATTATTCTGCTAAGTTTGTAAGGAACCAAAGAAAGAAGCCATGTGATAATGCTGAGAGCTAACACATGTTGCTAATCACATGCCTGGCCCTGTTCTAAGCACTTTGCAGGCATCTGTTTTACTCTCACGCAACTCTACACAGTTGTTACTTTTGTTGTCTTTATTTTTGTAGTGCAGAGAATTTATTAACTTGCCCAAAGTAGCAGGACCAATATTAACCTGTAGCCTATCTCTAAAACCTGTGACTTTATCTATTTGGCTGTCTGCTGGATGCTAAATCTTAAATAAGTGGTCATGATGATGGCAACAGTGGTGATGATGACGATTATAAAGATGCAGGCAATGGGAAGGATAGTCCTCCTCGTACAGAGGTCCACGCTCTAATGGAGAAAGTAGCCATGCCTACCAGGAAAGAAACCTAGAAAGCAGATGTCAGAAAAGCAGGAACGATGATTAAAACAATGGCTAACATTTATTGAGCTTGCGGGCACCATTCCAACTACTTTACATATATTAAGACACACAATGCCTCCAACCGCTTTGTGCACAAAATGTATGAAGAGGAAACGTGGGGTCATGAAAGGGAAGGAAGGGGGTCCCACAAGAGGGAGGCTAAGCCACCAGGGTCCTTCCCAAGCCCTGACACACTTTTTTTTTGCGTCCTGTCCTCTACCAGGCACACGTCCTTCAAGCGCCACTTGCCACGGCAGATGCATGTCTCCAGCGTAGACTATGGCAATGAGCTGCCACCAGCGGCGGAGCAGCCCACCAGCATTGGCCGCATCAAGCCTGAGCTCTATAAGCAGAAGTCAGTGGATGGGGATGATGCCAAGACTGAGGCCGCCAAGAGCTGTGGGAAGATCAACTTCAGCCTCCGCTATGACTACGAGAGCGAGACCCTGATTGTGCGCATCCTGAAAGCCTTTGACCTGCCTGCCAAGGACTTTTGTGGAAGTTCTGACCCTTATGTCAAGATCTACCTCTTGCCTGACCGCAAGTGCAAGCTGCAGACCAGGGTCCACCGCAAGACCCTGAACCCCACCTTTGATGAGAACTTCCACTTCCCTGTGCCCTATGAGGAGCTGGCTGACCGCAAGCTGCATCTCAGTGTCTTTGACTTTGACCGCTTCTCCCGCCATGACATGATCGGGGAGGTCATCCTGGACAATCTCTTTGAGGCCTCTGACCTGTCCCGGGAGACCTCCATTTGGAAGGACATCCAGTACGCCACCAGTGTGAGTACAGCCCTGTTCCCTTGGCTGCCTGGCCATTAGCAGTTCTGAGTTGGGTGGGAAATGTCCCCAGATATTGGTCCCTCTAGAGATACACAGGAAACTATGGAAACTTCCTAGTGGCCCAATTCATTGTAGGGAAGTCCTTGAACTCTGCCTAGATGGGGGAAGGAAGGAAAGGAGGAAGCAAGGAAGGAAGGAAGGAAGGAAGGAAGGGGATTTATGTCTTTTGATTTTGATTATATGATATGGATGTTTCTCTCTATTTGCTAAACCTTAAATTTGTTATCTATAAAATCATGTTATATAATCTTTTAAACTGAAGGCAAATCCATACTGAACTAGTCACTAGGTGTAGTAATCATTGATGTATTTTGGAAGCTTGGAATCAGTGATCAAGCTAGGCTGTGCCAATCACTATGAACCAGGTCATGCTGAAGTAAGAAACAATCCTTGGAATTTGTGGCTTAAGACAACTAAAGTTTATTTCTTGTTTGTGCTGCATATGCTTCACAGCTTGCCTGTGGGTTCTACTGGACCTTGTTACCAAAGGGCCCAAGCCAATAGAGGTCCTGTGTCAATGTGTACTCCAACAGTTAGACATCAGGATGATGAGGCTATGGCAAAGCATGTAATATTCCTTAATGCTTCCAGGCAAAAATGACATATGTCACTTCCACTCATATTTTATTAGCCAAAACAAGACACGTGGCAGTTTTCAATGTGCAAGAGGCAAGAGCAAAGCAATCCTACTATGTCCAGAAGGAAGGCTGCCCCTGCTTAGGAATAGCAGGTACCACAGTCCCTCATCCTGGGCATGGTCCCCTCATTAGTCTGGGAGATGCAGAAAGCTAGCCTAAGAGAATGGACGAGCTCACACACAAGGTCTGATTCCTGGCCTGTGCACAATCACCTGAAAATGGCCAGGGAAGGTTTCAAAGAGCCAATGTTTAATTTTTTAATGTTTGTTTATTTATTTGCTTGTTTGTTTTTAGATTTAGAAATCGAACTGTGTGTGTGCATGTGTCTATGCAAAAGAATGTTTGTGCATGTTTAAGCCTACAGAGGCTTGAAGAAGGGCACCGTATCCCATGGAGCTGGAGTTCAAGGTAGTTGTGAGCTGCCCGATGCTGGTGCTGGGAACCTGTCTCAGGTCCTTTGCAAGAGCAGTGCACACTCAACCACTGCACTATCTTTTCTGCCCCCTCAGGTTGGGTTTTTAAGATAAGTGGAGGGTCAGCCTGGTACAGGGCCTAGTGAGGACGACCCAGAGCCTGTGTTAACACGGGCGGTATGAGATGGTGAGGTTGTTTGAAGCACCCTGAAGTTGTAGCTAGGCTCTACCCCTCTGCACCCACCTGTGTGGATGAAAGTCTGCAAGGGCATTTAACCAACCTCTAATTGACTTGCAGTGCTGGCTGCTGGAATGTCTCCCTGGATTTTTATTGAATCGTTCCTTAGCAGAGGTGACCATACATATATAAACCCTACCTTTAGACAGTCCGTACGTGACATCATTATGTAGAAGAGTTTTTGGGGAAACCAGCCCCACACTGGTTGATGAAGAATGTGATATGTTCAGAGAGAAAGTTGATGGACTCTACTTTTGCCTTAAGAAGGAACTCTGGGGTATTCCAGTCTCATTGTTGGATATAATAATGTCCCAGTGCTGTCCCCAGCTTTATTTTCTTGAAATGTTCCATTCCCAGGAACAGCATGAGCAGCCAGCCTGGCTAACTGACAAACTGGGGCTGGGGTGGGGGACAGCACACCAGAGCGGGCCCAGGAGCTTTACAGCATAAATCACTCTGAAGTTGACATCTGGCGCATTTCTTCCCTGTGCTCCCCTACAGCGGGGCTTCCTGCCCAGTTCTCTTAGTGAGGCTGTGGCCCAGGATGGGGAGCTCTGCTGGCCAGGGGCTGTGGCTTATTCTGTCCTCCGAGGTGCCTCCTTTATCCCTGAACAGAACTCCCATCTTCCTGTCTGGTACAGAAGAGCAAGCCTCATCCTGGAACAGGCGGTCTATGAAAGGCAAGCACATCCCTTGCCTGTATGTAACTTTCCATTTCCCCTGGAATGTAGCTGTTCCCCACCCTGGTCCCATTGCCACTTCCTCTGTTCAGGTTAAGAAGAAGGTGGGGCCTCCTTAGTCAGTGTGAGTAGAGCCTTCTCCATCTCTTTTTCCTAAGAGAACTATGAGGGGCCCAGGTGAATGTGGGGCTGGGGTAGAAGGCAACCCTTTTGACTTAAAATCTAACCAAAGAGATAGGTGATTTATACTCAGCAGCTGTAGGCCAGAAAATACTGTTTACTGATCACAATCTCCAAAGCCATGAGAGAGAAAGACAGCGGGGAAGATCTCCAAATGAAAGGAATTGAACTCCACGGGGGAGGATGGATACATAGAAATAATCCACCAGGCCCAAAACAGTGGGTATACTCTAGGTGAGGGGTAGAGGGGGGCCAGCCTGAGCATTTCCAGGTCTGCAGAGCTGGGCACCACACTCTTGAACTTGCCTGCAGTCTCTCTGAGCCGGGCTTCCTCTTCAGGTGAGTACCATGGAGACCCTGCAGCCCAAAGCCTCACCATCCGCCATGGGCCTGGAGAATGGGCTCAAACCCCACAGACAAGAACTCAGGCAAAGGCAGGAGAACTGCTACAAACAGGCTGGTGTTTTTTTTGTTTGTTTTGTTTTGTTTTGTTTTTTACCTGTGTCATGATGTTGGCTGTGAAAATTTAATTATTTGGGGACCAGGGAGACTCAAGTCACCATCACAGGGAATGACTGAGCACTCTGAGTATATAAAATCTAGTAGTCCCTGCAGTGTGTGTGTTGGGAGAGGATGCGGGGAGGGCAGATGAGTGCAGCCAACAACTTGTTTCTCCCCTGTGCTTGGTTTTGTCCTCAGAGCTGTACTTCACACCACAGAGCTTGGAATGACAGTTTTCCTGCTACAGCCTGATTGGTCCCTAAGTAAAGCCCAATAGCCCTGCCTTGGTTTACAGGAACTCTGTCTTACTTTGCTTTCTATTGCTGTGATAAAATACTGACCAAAAGCAACTCTGGGAAATAAGTGTTTATTTCAGCTTACAGTCCACAGTCAAGGGAAGCCGAGGCAGGAACTTGGAGGCAGGAACTGAAGCAGAGGCCATGGAGGAGTGCTGCTTACTGGCTTGTCTCTCATGGTTTGTTCAGTTTATACAACCCAGAACCACTTGCCCGGTGGTGGCACCACCCACAGTGGGCTGGGCCCTCCCACATCCACCATTAGTCAAGAAAATGCCCCACAGATACACCTCTAGGCCAATCTGATGGAGACAATTACTTAATTGAGGTTTCCTCATGACTAGTTTGTGTCAGATTGACAAGAACTAACCACCACAGACAGTTACACAGGTCTGTCTACTACCTCTCTGCCAGTCCAAACCACCTTCCAACACCTCCCTGGAGCTCTCCTCCATGTGATCTTCTAGTGTCACAGCAGCCACCCCTCCCATGTATTTCTGTGTCCCCAAGGTACATCTCTCATCATGTCTTTATTGGAAAGTCTCCCAATGGAGGATTCAGGAGCAGCTGTGTCTACAGTTGACTTTTTGCTTGTATAAATTAGGTTAACCTAGGAAAGTTTCTTGGAGGAGAAGTTCCAGTTATTTTTTTATAGTAGGCACCAAACTTGGGAAGGGACATCCTGTGCATTTGCTCAGAGTTCAAGTACACAGCTTGTTCTAGTGAGACTAACTAGCAAGGCAGTCTGAACTGGAACAGAGAGCAAGTGACTCACAAGTCGGGTGGAGAGAGAGGCACCGTGAGCATGGAGGATTAGAAGGATGCTCCGTGAGCTTGCTCTGCCATGGATGCTATTCCAGCAGCTCCTCGAACACATCAGTCTAGTCTTAGCACGTGGAACCAGGCTGGTCCACTGGCCCAGGGCTCAAGTTAGTTTGAAGTAATAAAACATGATGATTGTCTACACTGAGCTTGAGGCTAGTGAGAGGGAGGTTAACATCTGGATAGTCTAACTATGTTGATTGCAAACTGAAGTCCCAGGGCACCCTGGCTTCCAGCTATACATAGCACTGGACTGTGGGAGGGGGAGAAACAGGAAGATAGGATATTCTAGGGCAGTTGCAGCCCTCAAGTCTTCCAGTGGTTTACAGGCCTAGCCTTGGGAAAGAAAGCAAGGGAGTTCATGGCATCTATTCCAGTCAGAGGCATAGCTCTCTTTGCTGCAGCCCTCACTCCTACTGGCGTGAAGAAGGCCCCTGCCAGTCTCCTGGACAATCCTAGGGGGTTGCCTCTGTCTCTCCAACCAGAGCTCCATTGACTAAACTCATCCCCCTCCCCTCTCCTACCCTAGTCTCATTATTTCTATATAAAGCTGTAGATTTATCCTTATAATAGAGCCACTGTCACCGGGTTTGCTAACATCTCTGTAGTCTTGAAGTTATTGTTACAGAGGCCTCAAAGCCCAGTGCATGCAACTATCTGTGTCAGTCACTGTCCCTGCTGTAATTGGAGCCATAAATATGTTGTATTGAGTGGTCCTGACTTATTTGAACATCTTTCTGATTTCCTACATCTCTGCCAGATGTGTGTGTGTGTGTGTGTGTGTGTGTGTGTGTGTGTGTGTGTGTGTGTATGATTGGGGGAGGGAGAGAGAGAGGATTGTTTGGTGGGTGATGGTAATTCTGGGGAGCCTGCACTTTGTGTGCAGGCTGGAAAGCATGTCTTAGGTGGTAGAAAAGCTTCCAGCACAGTAAGGAGTGGGGGCATGCAGCAAGAGCTTCCTCCTTCCTGGTGCCAAATAAATTTGTGTTGCATTCTAGCTTCTGAGACCTTGGGCATATTTAGGCTATGACTCAATTTCACCATCAACAGACTGCAGGCAATTTGTCTTTTCTGTTCTGTAATGGTAGCATAATTCCTGAGCTACCTCGGGCAGCACTGGCCCAGAGCAGCCTGCTTGAACCCTGTTCTTACGTGCCTTTCCTACTGGCTCA